ATTTATCCTCTGAGCTCCTGTGCCACTATTGCTGCTTCATTCTGACAAACTAAAGGTGCTGCAATCATAGTGAAAATAATAATTATGATTTCTAATGATAATTATCACCTGCAATGTAATGGTAATCATTGTCTACAGAGTCTGTGGTTATTTTAGTGATGTAACTGTACAATTCAACTGCTTCCTCTGTTTTTGTGGGATTTTTCCTCCTACTCCTCCTCCTACAACTGTTGCATTTAATGATAATCATAACACATAATCATATGAATAATGCTTACCAAAAACAAACTATAATGGTACAACATATGCAAATGGCAACAGCACATCCTCCACCTCCTGCTCCAATTACTAGTGGTAGCCAGTTACTGCTGGTTCCTACAACTATCAAGAACAATAAACATAAATTTTTTAGGTTTTATCTAACCATATGCTGGTAGTAAAATCACAGAATTGTTACTACTCTCTCCTACTTTAGTACTGGCTGAAACTGATATAGAGTATTGTAACATGGGATTAAGACTATCAATATAAGCAATGCTACTATCATTAGAAACATTAGCAATTCCTGTGTTCCCAGCATAGACACTGTAACGTGTGATGAAACCTCTTGCTTCTGCTAGTGTTAGTGGTAGCCATGTCACTTTAACGGTCGTGCTATTAATCCACACTGCAGTTACGTTTTCTGGTCCATTTGGAGGGACTAATACAATTGATGATGTTATTATGTTATTCAAGGAGCTTACTTCCTTCTTTTGAGAAAAAGACACTGCTAACCCATAGCTCTCCTCTTCCTTTGCTAGTATACCCAGCTATTGAGAGCTGATATGGAACAAATGGATCTGTACAGCAATATCAGTATAGCTAGTTGTATTGAAGAGTGTCTGCTTACCTGATTCAATGGTAATGTAGTTTGATCCATTAGACTGTAGTGTCTTCACTGTAGTAGAACTGACTGTCAAGTTTATCTGATAATACAGGATTTGTCCATTAGTGACAAGTGGCTTCATCCAATTAAATAATATTAAAGTGTCATTGAATGCAATTGAAGAACTTGATATTGCTTCTGGTGCTAAAATTATAAGAAATGTCACTGATTTATTGTGTAGGGATATAATTTACTTGATTCATCAGTTTGTCCTGTTACAATAGCTGCTGGTCCTACTCCGATTCTTGTATGAGCACTCACTGAACAGGTGTAATTAGTATATGGTACCAATCCATTCAATACAACAATATTATCAATAGTTTCGTTGTCAAATATGCCACTTGAGCAGTTGATGGTGTATTTTACTATGATACCATTAGGTTGAATTGGTTTTGACCAAGTCAAGACTAATGATGATGAACTGGTAGATATGATTGTTAAATTCTCTGGCTCAGACTCAGGACCTGTAAAAGCAACCAGTAATAATTGAGAGTAGAGCATCAGTTGCACATTAAAATCATACTTGCTTCTAGTGTAGTGACATTTAAACTGGCAGCAGGCCCTTCACCAATACCATTAGCTGCTGCAAGGTGACAAGTGTAGTTAGTAAATGGATAGAGATTATGAAGAGTGAATCTGTTCTCTCTCTTTGATGTAATCTGGTGTTGTAATGATTGTTGGATATCAGAATGAGTAGCATTGTTAAAGGAGCAGCTGAGAGAATACTTGATTATATCGCCATTTCTGAAGCATTCCAGTGGAGGCAGCCATGTAAAGGTCATTTCATAAGCTGTAATGTTGTATGTTTCAAATTTCAAAGGGACACCATCAGGAGCTATTAAAATTAAAATTAAATAATTGAACACAATTTTACATACTTGTTTCTAGCAGTGTAAATGTTCCATTTGTAGTGTTTACATGTCCTTCAGTGTTCTTTGATGCTATGTAGTAAGTGTACTTTATTCCAGGCTTGAGGCCATCAATAGTTAATGAGTATGGAGTATTTGATTCTTGTGTAAACACTTCAACTGAAGTACTACCATTAATACTAAAACTACCATTGTGATAGCATGACAGTGACTCATAATGGACAGTGTAGATCTCAGGACTATATGTCACTGATGTTACTACCCACTCAATCCTAACTGATGTTGTATTAAGAACAACTGACGTCATGTTAATTGGTTTATTAGGCAAGCCAGGCCCTGTAAAGAATATATTATTAGCTTCAAATTAAAAACGTGTGTGTACCTTTGACAGTAATATTTATACTGTTACTGTAATTGCTTTCTTTTCCTTCGATTAATAGCATAACTCCACATTCATAAAGACTTATTCCAGGCCTAGTGTATCTGACTTCTTTTTGAAATATCTGATTTGTCTGCTCATCCAAACTTAGTGTGACGTTAGTGCTGTTTGTTTGATAGAACCAGTTCTGTAGCTCATTGTCAGTAAATTGATTGAGTGGCTCATACATCAGTGAACATGTAATGGAGGCATTGTTATATGGAGGATAGTCTAATAGGACTACATGACTTGAGTTGATATTGACTTCAATTTCTAAAATTAAAATTATAATTATGACAGATGTGTTGAATAACTTACTTCTAACTACCAGCTCAATCGACTTATTAGTAGACTCACTATTCAGTATAAAGGAACTGTCATTGTCACTACTGATAAAGTATGAGCAAGTGTATAAAGTAGCATCACGTAATTGCAAATTATTCAGTTCATAAGTGATGATATTTGTAAAGCTCTGTCTTATCAGTGTGTCATCGCCTAAGAACAAGCTGATATTTAAAGATGTGCTGACATCAATGTGGGAATCAGGAGGAGGATAATTAACAGAACAGGTAAGTGTGACATTACTACCAACATCATAATACTGCTCATCAGGAAATAAAGAAATCAGAGGAGAATTGTTATTTGGAACTAAAAAGTAAAAGCATGATTAGTTTTTTTTTCAAGAGTAACAGTAAAACTCACTCATTACAAATAAATCGATGTCATCAGTCTTCATTTCACTTGGTAAAACAAATGTGAAGTTAGAGTATTTTAGATAATATTGACAAGTATATGTTCCAGCATCTGATAATTTTACACCATTGAAATCTTTACTGATCGTAATGTTAGTGTATTCATTGCTAGTGATGATAGACTCTACTACAGAGGCTTTATTGTGAATCAATTCTATTGTTGCAAAAGTTGAAAGTGAAGGAGACATTTCATATGGCGTAATGGTACAATTTATGACAAGATCATCTCCAGCTGTGTAGAGAGAGTGCAACTGATTGAAACTGACCAGGTCTCTGGAATTGTTTACTAATAAAACAAAGATGAAATAGTAGCATACTAGTGTCAGTTTTAATTTACTTTTCATCAAAACTTGTACATCATTTGATGTTTCATTTCTACCTGATTCATCTACTATCCATGCTATACAAGTGTAATTACCAAGTGTTGAGTCTGGAGTTGATGATGTTATTGGACTAAAGATCAGTGTACTCTGAAATAATGTATTGTTAATAGGTACAGTGGATGATATAGACACTCCTGATGAACTGGCAGATATCTTTATGCTTTCAATAGATCTACCATTGTATTTATACCAAGATATTTGAACAATACTGCTAATGTCAGTGCCATTGATATCAATATCTGTGTTAGTAGTCGAGTTACACTTTAACTGTTGGAGAGTATCTGACAAAATTAATAATGAGGAGCTTGTGGTCACTTCCTTCACAAATGTATCTACATACAAAATTTAAAGCTACTGAATTTTGTATCATTATTTTACCTCGTATTTCAAATGTGACATTTTTAGTTAAAGAATTTTGACAATTATTAGCTTCAACTCTGATAATGCATGTATAAGTGACTGACTGATTAACTGTTAACATAAGAGGGTTAGTCAATAGGGTCCCAGTAGGTGATCTCCATTGTATGATCACTCCTGATTGTCTGTAACCTGATGCACAATCATACTCACTAATATTTCCTATTGTCAGGTCAGTATAGGAATCATCAATTGTAATTACACTACCAGGTACTATGAATAAGATGGCTATATCAGATCAACAAAATTTACTAACTAACCTTGAACACAAAGATTTGTCAAATTACTTATAATAGTATCATTACCATCAATACTAGCTCTACACTGATATTCTCCAGCATCAGAAGGCTGAATATTAGTGATATTCAATATTATTACTAGACTCTTACTGTCACCATTAATCATCAGTGGTGTACTTCTATCACTAATATCAGTGTTATACTGATACCAATAATGACTAATGAATGATGTATCAGGACCTATCCCAGTATTAAGACTGATAGTACAGTTTAGCATTACTGAAGAGGTAATGGCCAGTAGTAGCACTGTTGAGTTAATGGAGCTGACTATTGAAGTAGATAATACAGTCACTGAATTGATATAAGTAGCTACAACATAAGAATAATTATTACAATCATTATTTTTGGACTTTTACCTTTTACTTTAAGAGTAATGACCTGTGATTGAGTACTACAGTCAGAAGGATTAGTCTCAATCATTATTTTACAAGTATATTGTGTATTATTATGTGATGGTAGTATTGATGGTATCATTAGTGTATTATTGTTACTATAAATAGAACCATTAGTAAGTAGCCAGGATACTGATACTCCAGTAGGTACTGTTCCAGTGATACAATCAATTGAATAATACTGACCAAGGGATAGTTCCTCTGTTACTGATGGTAGTGTCTCATTAACTGAATAAAGAATGTCATTAACAATTAATACACTGTTGTCTAATACATTACCTGTTACACATACACTGATATTGCTAGTAGTTACATTAGAATCAATCCCAGCATTACAATGATATACTCCAGCATCAGATACTTGTATTGAATCAATAGTTAGTGTTGAAATGAAGACAATGTCATTGTTCCTCAATAATGAACCACTGAGTGTAATATCAGTCGCATCATAATACCAAGTGACATTGGGTTGTATACCAGGACCAACTGGAGTATTAAGAATAATGGTACACTCAATATTTACTGTTGAACTGATTAGGAATGATTCATGAGAAACAATGTCTACCCGTTCTATGTATGTTTCTAAAAATATAATGTTTTAAATAGAATAAAGAATCTATGATGTTGATACTATTAGTTAGACTAACCTTTCACAGTTACTTTGACAGTTTTGTTCTCAGAGTGGGGACAACTGTCTGGGTTTGTGTTCACTTCAGCAGTACAACTATACATTGTGTCGTTAAGTGATGGTAGCACACTGGGGAACACTAGTGTATTATTGCTGGTGATGATATTTCCAGATTCATCTCTCCATTTTATTGTAATTTCAGCTAGTGATGAGATATTAACACAGTCTATTGCAGCACTGTATCCTAATGCTAGGTTAGTAACAGTGTCAGGATTATCATCATACAGAACTATATAAAATAAAACCTTATATTAGTATAGGCAAGAAATATTGCTTACCTTTTAAACACAAAGCCATAGAGTCAGTAGTTGGCTCATCACTTTGACTGCCAGTTAGTGAAGCAGTGCAGTTATAGACTCCAGCATCATTGAATGAAACACTTGGTATTGTTAGACTACTGTGGAACACTGATGATGGCAAGGCTAGATCATGCATGATATAATCTCTTATAACTTCCTCTGATTTAAACCACTTTATGTTAAGTGAAGAAATATTAGGACCAATAGCATTAGTAAGGTTGATACTGCACTGTAGGAGTACTTGTTCACCAATGATATATGAAGAATTGAATTTTATGGAAACTGATGAGACTCCAGTATCTAAAGTAATAGTAACTAATGTACTAGATCTATAGGCTAACCTATTATAGTAATGATAATACTTTCCATTAAATTCCTTGATATTAAATCTGATGATACTACACATGTGAATGTCTTGTTATCATTGCTGAGCAATACTGGATCAATTGTTAATACATTTTCATAACTGTAGCTATTAAATGATGACACATCTTGCCATTTTATCACAGCATTAGGAATTGAAGGAACTGTTTCACATTCTATATCAGTACTGCTACCTACTCTAAGACTAGTGTAATTGCCACTGATAGTCACATTCGGAACTAATAATGGATACACTGAATATGGGAATATACATTTAGTGATACTAACCTAGCATTTGTATTGTTAAGAGCTCAAAGTTTTCTCCACACACGTTTGAACTAGAGCAATTATAATCACTTTCATTTTCATAGCTAAAAGAGTTTATTGTAACTGGTTGATTTGAACTGATTAAATTTGGTCCAATAATAGTATAAGATCCAACAGAGGAGGAGCAATTGATGACAGCATCATCTCCAGGATAAAGAAATAATGACTCAGTCATTATATGTACAACAGGTTTGGCTATTATCAAAAAGAAAATTAAATCAAATAATCTTATTAATCTACTCACCTCGGACATTAGCAGTGGTATAACCTACAATAATGCGTTCACTTTCAATGACATTAGCTGCACAAGCATATTCTCCACTGTTAGCATCATTCACTGATAGTAACTGTAATGTACTGATGTACAAGTATTCTTCATCATTTCTAGTAATATTGTTGGTTGGTATATAAGTCCCATTGTAAAACCATGTGATATTAAGAACTGAAAGATGAGACCCAATTACTGTATTCAGAGTCACTACACACTCCAATAGTGCTAACTCATTAACACATAGCAATGGATTACGAATGAAGACAGATTCAACGTATGTATCTAAGTATGAAATCAATGATTATGTTAGTCTATACTGTATTCCTTACCATTTACTATTAGAATAATATTGCTATCACCACATGTATAGTTACCAGAGTCTGTGCTCCTCACTGCTAGTATATTCAGTGTGCTTCCACTGGTAATGTAATGATGTGAATCATTTATGATGTAGTCTTCATTCTGTTTCCAGTCTGATTGACAGTTACACTCTAGGACAATACTATCACCTACTGAGAGTCTTGCTTCGGTGACATTGCTTCCATTCAATGATATATTACAATCATCTAATTTCAGTGATAGATTATGCTAAGTTTTATATTCTTACTTACCAGCAGCATACGAATCTACTGCAATAAGTAACAAAGCATAAGGAAGGAAGCACCAAGCTTTCATAATTTTCCAATTGGTACTAACGTATATTTTAGCTGCGGGTTGTATAGCCTCCTTATAATGGATGCAGTTTATTTTAAATAAGCAAAAGTACATTATTTCAGTTGTTTTACTGACACTAATGAATAATTGTTTGTTGGTAAATAAACTGTGATAATAAACATCTATTATTATTATGGCAGTAGTCTAGTCATGAAGTGTTACCATTATACTGTGTAAATCTACTTGGAACACAGGATCTTTTTTATCAGTTTAAAAGTTTAAAAAAATAAGCCACGATATGTAAAAAATGACAAAACTAATAAGTCAAGATCTAAATCTACCTGATGACAATACATAACTATACTTAGTCTAGCTAATTTTATTAGTTCAAATGTAACGTTTGAAATTGTCATATTGGGACATGTCTTCAGCAAAATCCGAAATTATTTCATGACAATAAATGTACTGCTCCTAAAAATATAAGAAGTATTTCTCATTCTATTATATATATATATATATATATATATATATATATATCTTACCAAACAATCAACCAGTCCTGGTCTCTGGCTCCTTGCTTTCCTAATAAATTGAAATATATCAGACACTCCTTCAGTTTTGGCTCTTTCTATTTGAGAATAAGCTGTCAGAAACGTACCACTACAACCAACACCATCACTATGATATAATGGAAGCAAATACTTTTTATTTCTTATTATTTATCATTTTCCTTACTTGCAGATCACCACAATAGGTTTATTACCAGTCTTGCTTTGATTCTTAACAACAGACTCAAAGAGATTAACAAGAGATGAGCCAGGTTTTGGTCTGCTGGCATCAGCT